AGGTTTGTATCTTGGGTTAAGTTTTTCTTTTAATAGATTTTCTTGTATATTTAACATCCAAACTAGAAGGTTTATTCTGAAAACAATATTGAGACATATCAGTTTTTGGCTAAAAATATCTAGTAGAGACAGAGAAGTAGACTATATAACTATAAAACTTACAAAAAAAAACCTCATATACTCTTGTTAACCTTCTACTATTTTTTTAGAAAAAAATTTGTAAAAAGTAAGGGATGTGACAAAAATCAGATGATTTTTTAGGGGGGGAGGAGGTAAAAAAAGTTAAAATTATATATAAGAATCTGTTTTTTTTTATATTAAGAAGGGAAGAGGGTAAGACTCTGATAAAAAATAATCAGGTGATAAATGACACTGCCTTAAACAATTTAGCTTATCTTTTTCAAAAGATTAATATATTGTTTACTTATTAAATCAGGTAACTTTATTTACTTTTTTTATCTATCACAACAAACATGTAGATATATATAAAATAGTGAACCTATAATTATATGCCTCAAATATGATAACCTGAACAGATAAAACTCCAAGCCTATTAGTGTAATTTTTTGACCTTTTTATAGTACCAATATTGAAAATTTTTTTTCTATTTTATGATTTTTACTTAAACATATTAATTATATAAACTAGAGTAGAGAATAGCTTAGATAGTAATATATAATTTTTACAAAGTCTGACACAGTATTATAATTATAACCATCTAGTATAGATGAAAAATCCTATATTTAGTTTAGTTTTTTTCGTAATTCTCTTACTTCTTTTTATTTATTTTTTTTTATTTTTGTTATATACTTCTCTATATCTTTGTATTTTATTTATAAAAATTTTTTTTTTTCTTTCACTTTTCTATGAGAAAATATCATCAGATTAGTGATATCCTATTGTAAGACAGTAATTGAATAAGCTTCTAGAGGATATTATCTTAATTGATCATATACCTTCTAATATAGTAGATTACCTGTAGATATATATAGATAATCAGTTAAATTATACAAGATAACTACAAGGTGTCAGATCTGTAATTTTAATGTTTTGCACTTTTACAAGTGATATTTAATTAAAGATAGAGTGAAGTGATCTATATTTCAATAGTAATCATATTACTAAATTTTTTTACAATATTATTGTAAAAAAATTTAGTAATATGATTATTATTGAAATATGGATTACTTTACCTACCCTTAAATAAAGATACTGGTATGACCCACTTAAGTAAACAAAAAATAAAAAATAAACAAATAAAAAATAAATAAATAAGTTAAAACTTTTGTAAAAATCTAAAAGATTTTATAAAATAAGCTATTAGCTAGCTACTTAACCAATATTTTGATTAGCTAGCTTAGCTAGCTGATTAAAATTATTTAGCTTATAATACTAAAAGTATATAATAATTTAATATAATATTGTACTTAAAGAATTTTGTTAAATATTTAAAGGTAAAGTACTTTATAATTTTAGAGTCATATAATTAACTAATAAAAATGTATAATTTTGATCATTGATAGACAGATTTGCCTATTAATAGACAAAGTCAAGTATTTTTATTGATTAATTATGTGATTCTAAAAATTATTATTATTATTATTTTTTAATATTAATAGCAATCCTAAAAATTATAAAAGATTTTACCTTTAATAGTTATTTAATAAAATATAAATGATATTAGATTTAGATAAGTATACAATATTGGGCAAAAATTGTTAAATAATAGTAATTTGGCAAAAACAGGACAAATGAACATGTACCACTTTGTGATATATGAGCCAATCATTTGTCTGGTTGAGCCAAATTATCATATTTGACAAATTGTCTAATATTGGTCATATCAACGGATTAGCATAATTGGGTCTTTTTTTGATAAACTGTTATATGAAAATTTGCACCTAAGTAACATTGAAAAACTAACAAATAAAGCACCTGTTACAACTAACAAAAGAGCTTTTTTGACATCTAAACAAGTTAAAAAACCAAAAAAACTCAATAAAAGAACTATGCTAAACTGTAGAAAAAAGTACTTTTACCGTTTGTTGAAATAATCAGGTATTTTAGAATAGATTAAGCATTGTAAGATAGGTTGGTAACTATCAAAAGTAAATTCAGAAGCTAATTTTAAAAAAAATGGTCTTTTTAACCTACTTTTGACTTATAATTAAATACATGAATTTCATAATATTCTATATACTTAATTATAAATGCAAAGCTGATTAAAAAGGTTGTTTTTGTGAAAATTTGCTTTATCCCTTAAACCATTCACTTAAACAGGCAAATTTGCCTACTTAAATATTTTAAAGAAAATAAAGCATAAAAAAATTTTTTTTATAAAAATTTTAATTCTAATTGGTTATAGTGACTTCTAAAAGCTCGAGCCACATGCTATATTCAACAGCCACAGTGTAATCTACTTGAAATAACCTAAACAAAGGACATAAATTTGAATAAAGAGTATAAAATATGCTATTTTAACCAAGTTTTTGAGTCACCTTATCTCTCTTGCATTATTTTAAAAAATCAATTCTGTAAAGTTAATCGTGAAGAATCTTTGACCAACTTTAATGTTATATTATAAAAGGTACCTCTGTGTGATGATTATGAAGATCTTTCATAATTGTCACATGCAAGTATCATTTTTACTATTAAATTTGATCATCAAGATCATATGAAAATCATATGATGATCAATCATACTTAGACGATTTTGGAATGTCATTGAAGAAATTTCACCAAATAACAATCATATGACAACTAACACGTAGTGTTCTTTTATTCTAGTTAAGAGATTATGGGGTGTGACTTAATAAAATTTAGAAAAATTGTACAATAATTGGTTAAAAAAAATTTAAGCAGACAAATTTGCTCGCTAGATGGTTTAAAGGATAATAAAATTTTGTGTAAAATTTTTTTGATAATCCTCGATCATGATTGGTCAATTTACCCAATTATACTGATCCACTGATATATATTAACCAGCAATTTATAATCATGATTGGTAGAGAGTCATCAACTGAGTTTTAATTTAAATAAATATGATTATATCATAACACATGAAAAAAATAACAAGACAAATAGCAATTCATGATCATAAGAGTTTACCAGATAATATTATTTAATAACTATTTGTTAACTTCGATTATGCCACTTTACAGCATAATCAGAGTTAATCAAATGGTCACTAAATGATACTGACCCAATATTATCTACATTCTACCTGATAATAATATTATCTAGAAGTGGTCATTGATCATATTACTTGCATTAATTATATAAATTATTGTTATTTAATATAAAGATTAGTTTATTGATTATGTGGTTTTTTTGGGTTTTTCTTTCTTTTTTCTTTCTCCTCTTTTCTTTTTTTTTCTTCTTTTTTTTTTTTTACTTGAGAATTTTTTGGCATGGATTAAGATAAGCATAAAGCGAAGTCAACTCATATTTCTTAATAATTTTCTCGATTTATATTAGGGTTAGGATTAGGCTTTAGATAGTTCTATATAATTAAAATTGCCTCCGATATTTTTGATTAACCTACCTGAGGCAGGTTTAGACTGCCGTTTTTTGTATTTTGTTTTTATTTCTTTTGCTTCGCCGGCGATCATCAAAATTCTATAATTTGATTGGTGCTTGATCACATGATTTTACACCCAAAAAAATGAGTAACATGATCAATAGTGATACGTAGTAAAATTTTTTAAACTTTGCAATTATATAGAACAAAAGAAGCTTAAAAACCAAACTTTAGCACATAACCAACTCATTTTTTCGCCAAAGTAACCTAATTTAGACTTCTAAATAAAGTTGTTCAGATACATAATTTTACACTAAAATCGGTAAATATGTCAAATTAACAAAATTTTAACTTGGTTTTTAAGCTAAATTTTTATATAATCGCAAAATTTAATTTTACGTATGAGTTAAGTTAAAAACGATTTTCAGCTCAAAGTTTATAGTAAATTTATGTTTTTACTATAATTTTTATTATTTTTTTTATATAAACCATTTTGAGCCTTTATAAGGGGAGATGTTCTGTGCCTGGTAAGCTTGCTATTTTTATGTAATAATGTAATCTGATAACTGGTAGTTAAAAAAAGGTTTATTTAGGAACATCTTTGATTTCAACAATAAGTGATCGGAAAGCTCATCCGTTAATCCGACTACATTACGTTGAAATACTTTAAGAACTCTTGACGAGCAACATGGACTCAAATTATTAAAAATTTCAGGAGATTCGAAACATTTTAAAAATAATATTTGAAATTTGGGGAGAATTGGAGACAATAATAATTATGCCCTTAGAACAGCGAGCAAAGTTTGAAGATTTGCATCATTCAGAAATTTTACACTTGGGCAGTTTTCACAATTGCAATATTGTCATTAATTTTGTTAATCAAATTGATCTTATTTTACTATTGTCATAAATGATGTCTCTACCATTAAAGATGTGACCTCTCTGAAATCTGTTCATTAAAGATGTTATACGTGACAATTTATTTCGTATTCATGCCAATAGAATTAAACCATACCAATTAAATATCTATATATTAAATTAATAATGTAAATCGAATACCCAAGCATAATGTTTATGTAAATGCATTATACGTATAATAAATAAGACCACGATTAATAACCAATAACCTCCGATTTCGATTTGGTGGACATCAAAGAATACTCCTATGTGATACTATATCTGTATATATCATTTAAAGTTGATAGTTTTATTTTAATTAACTTTGTACTTCGTCGGGATAATATAAAATATTTATTTGGGTCATACAAACTTAAAAAAAAAAACAAGGAAACTTAAAGGGGTTAGATTATATTATTTACAGGTGCATGCGGGCTGATCCGTTCACGATTTGATTTGATTTTGGCATCAAAAATCATCAAAGATCTATGATAATCTGAGAACGATCGGGTCACTTATCACATGTTATAAACTTCAAATTTAAAATTGAGACGAGTTTTTTGTTTTTTTTTTCTTTAACTAGGATGTCTACAGTAATAACATCATCCTGTGCTGGTAACGGGTTATCCAACAGCCCGCTCTCAGTTTTTGCAAATAAATTTTTTCAAGATTATGGCATTGCTTCCTCAACAAGGAAATTGATAGAACAAGGAAGAAATACGACTGATTCCTTTCGTCTTTCAAATCTTGAAAGAAAATGGCAAGAAACCGGGAGAAATAATTATAATGAAGGGTTGAATGGCTGGAATCATTTTATTCAACAGAGTGAAGATAATGAAAATTGGCTTACGACCGAATTTATGATTTCAGAACAAGATATCGAGGAAGAAGAGTTTCGGCAAGAATGGAGTGATGAGAAGTTCACCGAGGTTTATATCAAACAACGTGGGCTGGACCAATCTCATAATGACAAAACTTCTTCACAAAACATACCGATACGTTCCTGTGAGCGTCCTTTCGTTAAAGAATTTATAAGTATTATGTCGTGCCAAGATTCATCCTTACTCCATTTTTCACCTGAAGAGTACTCCTCGTTTATAGCCAATGATCATACTATCACATACAATACTCTACATAACGACTTACTCCAAGCTCAAATTTATCTCCTTGATCACCTTCTGTTCGCTATCTTAGAATGCCCAATGACAACGACTTGTAGACCCTCCCCAGAAGCGGAATGGAATTGGGCTAGATTATTTTCACCATCACGATGGTGTAAGAACGACGATACTAAAACATTAGATGGTGAATACATACAAAATGTGGCATTGGAGAGGTTGCAACTTTTACTGGGGCATATAATTGACCCTGATATCGATCGGAATAAAGAAACGAGGTAAAGGTGGAAATATAAGAATCGTGAATTTTACACGTAGTAGGACTTTAGTAAGACTTCAAAATATCAATCCTAAATTTTTATTTTTAAAAGTTCACCAGTTCATTATTACCAACTTTTTTTTTTGTAAATGTGTTTAAACATAATTTCGCAAATAATTACTATAGAACCAAATAAACTAATAGATAATAGATTGGACAATGTCATTATTGTATTTAAACATTCTATTAATCTATTTCTGAAATGCTTGTTGATTGGTCACTATTCAAAGTTTTCCAAGCGATATCAGCCAAAATACCACTCAATACCAAAATGCCAATCCATTTATTATTACGGAATTTTCTATCACAATCAGCCACGTTATCAAAATTCACCGTACGAAGCTGCCACGCAAGGTGAGTTCCTGTACCCAGAACAGAAATCGAATAGAAAGGCCAATTATGGCCGTTCATCTGTCCTGCCAGAATGAGAAGTGTCACCATTGATCCTGAGAAAAAACTTAACCATAGTCGGGTACTGTCCCCGAACAAAAGAGCAGTTGACTTTACTCCAATCGCACTATCAAAGCTCTTGTCCTGAGCATAATGAGAAAACAGTCATTAAATAAAAAAAAAAAAAGGTGATAAATTGTGTTCAAAAAATAGTTGCAACTTTCTATGAATTTTTTCACCTGATGTGCATAAATCGTATCGTACACCAACGTCCAACACACACCGGCAAAATATAACGGGAGAGTAACTGACCATTCGTTGCTGCCAATCATCGCTGGCCAACCCAATAATGCACCCCAATTAAAAGCTAGTCCTGTTATTGTAAATAATTCAATCCAATATCGAATATATCGAATATGATTATGTATTCATTAAATAATCACGTACCAAGGTAGAGTTGCGGCCAAAAAGTTACACGTTTCATTAACGGGTATATAGAAACAATGCTTAAAGATGCCGCACCGAGAATAATACTATTATATATTTTTTTACCCAATTTGTATTAATCTAGCGAATAAAATATACAGAGACCTCCCTAAATGCATTCTATATGTAAAATAACTTTTAATGTTTTCTAGAAATGTGCACACTCTCTAAGTGTTCATTTTGAAATGGTTTACTATGGCCCTAGAGGGTGCATTTAGAGAGGTCTTTATCAAATGTGTATATGTTGTGAGAACGGAATTTAAGTGGATTTTGAATTTCTTAAGATTTCAGGGCTAGGATGTAAGTTGATATTAAATAAATTCTGACCTAAAAATTCTGATATTAGAAATTCCCAAACGATTAAATTCCGTTCCATCTAAAAATATTACATTTTGGCATACCTATAATAATTTAATTGGGTCAAGACTGTTAACCCTGCTGATAATTGTAATCCTAGAAAAATAAGGGCCCGAAAAGGAGTCACCACACCTGATGCAATTGGTCGGTTTTGTGTCCGTTCCACCCATTTATCGATTCTCCTATCCCATAAATCGTTGATCGTACATCCAGCACCTCTCATTATAAATGCCCCAACGCCAAAAAGAGTCAGCATATAGATAGTCTGAGAAACTGGTAATTGTGCATGATATGTTGCCATTGTAATGCTCCACGCTATAAATGAGTAGTCACGTACATTTGTCATTGTCAGCACGGATAAATAAATCGGCTTATTGACTTAGGGACCGATATTTCCGAAAATTTGATCGAAGATATCCGACAACCATCCAATGAAGTTTGCGCGTTATTTTGAGTACGCGCATGGGGACAAATATAAAAATTTTAAGCATCTTGTTTAAAACAAAAAATGTTCCGGAGCTAGGTTGATACTAAGTGAATCTAGTTCCGGAACATTTGTTCTAAATAAGCACCCCTTACTATAAGATGTGCGTTATTTCGGGACGCGCATGGGCGTTATTTTGAAGCTATATATGTTATTTTTAGGGGGCGCAATTTTCGAAATAACGCTCATGAGCGTTATTCATAGAATTCCGATAAAAAAAAAAGTTCATCGAATTTTATTGGTGGCTGTCGAGAGATCTTCGATCCGAATTTTAAGCGTCTATCAAAAATATAAGCTGCGGCAAAATTTTTCATGACTTTGATCGAAGATATCTCGAAAGCCACCCAAGAAATTCGATGAACTTTTTTTTATATTAATTCTATGGATTCATAAAAAAAAAATTCATCGAATTTCATTGGGTGGCCGTTGAGATACCTTCAATTAAAATTTAAACATCTCAAAATATAAGCCGCGGCAGAATTTCAGAATTTCCTGACTTCGATCGACAATCACCCAATGAAACTCGATAAACTTTTTTTTTTTGAATTCTACGGATTCATAGAATTCAAATAAATAAGTTCAAATTTCATTAGGTTGTTGATGAGATATCTTTGATCAAAGTTTTAAAAAAGTGTGATTTACCTGGGTGTGGAAATATCGGGAGGTGGAAATGACTTACTGCAGGGTAAATATAAAAGCCAAGTTCCTATAGGTTTATCTAAACGTGCAAGAAGAGCATAAGGCACGAGTTTTGGCGGAAGATAAGTATAAAGCCATGAAGAATATTCTGGCTCAATTTTTTTAGAATTTTCTTCGATAATGGAAGGCTTAGCGCTGCTATAGGTTGCCGTTTGCCAAGGCGAAATTCTTTGGGCACGAATTAGGTAAGACAAACGGCTGTACAAATTTGACCTGGACAAATTCTTCAGTCTTCGCGTATAAATGAATGAGTGTGGGCACGTGCAAAAAATTTTCCTGTCGCCCAGTCTAGTTACGCAAAAGATTTTAAGGTTAGATGTTTTACTCGCCGAATTGCGTAAACCTGAAAGAAACATTTAGAAAAAAATTGTATGTAACACGGGAAATATATTCACGTGACGATAAGATTGATTGGAAAAAAGCTTTTGTACGACTTGCGTTGCTAAAGTCGTTGCTCGTTCGTTAGCTCGATACGCCCAACGGAATTGTTCTTCTCGATCTGATAATTTGCTAAGTGACTGTACCTTATACCTCCTTTGTTCCCGTCGTTGCAAATGGACGCTACGTTAATTAAAACTGGTAATTTCCTTTGAAACTTAATCGTTGAATTTATAAAAAGCTTTCCTACTAATTCAATGTGTACAGTTAATAAACTTCAGGATGCCTTTGCAACTGTCGGAGTTCAAAATCCTGTTGATTTACCGCAGATTGTAGTTATTGGCTCTCAATCAAGTGGTAAAAGTTCAGTATTAGAGAATATTGTGGGACGTGACTTCTTACCTAGAGGTACTGGCATTGTGACCCGAAGACCTTTGGTTAGTGTTGAATTTTTTTTTACGTGAAGCTATTCTGAAACTTATTTATACTTCTCCAAAGTTGTTATTTGCAAGTTTCTTTGTCAATATATGAAAAAAATAAATTGTTTCCGTAAAACGCGTTAGATTATGCTTATAAGCATAATAAGTTTATTAATATTTTTCATTTATAAACAATTTATTGGACTTTTTTTCAAAAATTATTAATAGTATTCGTTTGTCTTTTAGGTCTTACAACTTATAAATCGACCGTCAAGTTCAGCTGCAAAAACTGAAGATAACCCAGGTAAAGAAAATGTGAAAGACGCACCTGTAAAACCCGTGAAACCTGTGAATTGTAAAGAATCAGAAACATCAAATAATGAAGATGAGTGGGGAGAGTTTTTACACATGCCTGGCGTAAAATTTAATGATTTCAACAAGATTCGTGATGAGATTGTCAAGGATACTGAAGCAAAAACGGGAAAAAATGCCGGTTAGTATTTAGTATTTGCTCGTATTACTCTTAATAATCTTTATTAACCATGATTCTGTTATATCATGAATTAATAGGCATCTCTCCAGCACCTATAAACTTAAGAATATATTCACCTAATGTACTTACATTAACACTTGTTGATTTGCCTGGACTTACAAAGGTATGTTGTGTACTTGAGGTCATTCATCTAATTTCTTACCATACATTACAAATAGTTAATCCCACTTTGTTATAGGTGCCCGTTGGAGATCAGCCAAAGGACATTGAAAAGCAAATCAAAGATATGATTTTGAAATATATCACCAAACCAAATGCAATTATTCTTGCAGTTACTGCTGCCAATACTGACCTGGCTAATTCAGATGGGTTGAAACTGGCCCGTGAAGTAGATCCCGAAGGTTCGTATCAGTATTTATTTCTATTTTATCCAAAAATTCAATTCTGGTTATGCGATTACTTATTAAAAAAATTTACGTCTTTTGTTAGGATCACGTACTATCGGAGTTCTTACAAAAATTGATCTTATGTAAGTTATTATAAAATTGTACTAATTTAGCGCAGAAGGTCAAACTTGACCATTATGACTTTTTACTTGAAAATAGGGACCAAGGAACAGATGTCGTGGACATTTTGGCGGGCCGTATTATTCCTCTGCGTCTCGGTAGGTACATTATTCTTATTCAATAATATCTTGATAATATCAGGTACTTAATAATTCTTTTATTAGGTTATGTACCTGTTGTGAATCGTGGTCAAAAGGACATTGATAGTAGGAAAGCTATTGCTGCCGCACTTGAAGCTGAAAAAAATTTCTTCGAGAACCATCCGGCTTACAAGAGCAAGGCACAATATTGTGGGACACCTTTTCTTGCCAGAAAATTGAACATGGTATTTTCTGATTACTAATATGAATCGCCTATTACAGTCGTCTCCCGCTTTAATCACATTGCAATTGTCTATAGTCATGTTAATTTTCTGCTTTATTATATATTATATATTATATATAAATTTTCACTCTCTATTAGTCACAATCCTTATAAATACATAAAATGCGATAGTACCATGCAATGATAGCAGGAGGCGACGTATTACTCATTTTCCAGACTGAAATTAACAACGTTTTTTATTCAATTAAATTAGATACTCATGCATCACATTCGAAACACGCTACCCGAAATAAAAGCCAAAATTCAAACAGTGCTAACAAAATATCTTATGGAATTACAGTCACTTGGGGATCCTTTAGATGAAGGTCTTAATAATAGTGCCAATATTGTCCTAAATATTATTACAGAATTTTGTACAGAATTTCGCACAATCATTGACGGCAATTCCAATGAACTTTCTTCTTTCGAGTTATCTGGCGGTGCACGTATTAGCTTTGTTTTTCATGAAGTGTTTGCTAGTGGTATAAAGACAATAGATCCTTTTGATCAAATAAAAGATGTAGACATTAGAACGATACTTTACAATTCTTCGGTAAAAAAATTTTTTTTAAATTGACTTCAAAGCTTTGATTTCAGTGTATTTTGTTTTAAAAATTTTTAAACAATTCTTTTCAGGGATCAGCACCATCTCTCTTTATTGCTTCAACTGCATTTGAAGTGATCATAAAGCAACAAATTAAACGCCTAGAAGAACCTAGTTTAAAATGTGTGACGTTAGTGTACGAAGAATTGGTTCGAATTTTATCTCAATTGTTGCAAAAACAAGTATGTAAACTGGAAAATAATATGAAATTGTTTCCTATGTTTTATTATATCGTATTGAAATATTTTTTATTTTATAGTTGTTCAAACGTTTTCCTGGACTAAAAGACAAGTTTTACTCTGTTGTCATTAACTTTTACAAGAAAGCTCTGTCACCTACGAACAAACTTGTGCAAGACCTTGTTAAGTTAGTAAATAAAACGATACAAATTACAAAGTTTTTTTTTTAATGTTGTTTTCCACTGATCATGTTTTCTATGTCCTTTATTTAACAGCATGGAAGCAAGTTATATTAACACTGGCCATCCTGATTTCTTAAATGGCCACAAAGTCATTGCATCTATTAATGATAAATATAACCCAAAGCCCGCAAACCCTGCAGATCCAAAAACAGGTCGTGGAAGCATTACTAATCTTACTAATCCGAGTCCGAATCCACTTCTGCCAGACTCCGAATCGGGGAACACTGGATTCTTTGGAAGTTTCTTTACAGGAAACAAAAAGAAGAAAGCTGGCGTCATGGAACCTGTATGGCTCAATAAATTATGGTTAATAAATCTATATCTCAACATCAGATAATAATTGAATCTTACTTTAATCAGCCGCCACCAGTTTTGAAAGCGTCAGGAAATCTCTCGGAACGAGAATCAATGGAAACCGAAATTATAAGTAAATTATAACAATGTGGTTATTATATATATTGCAACTCAATGAATTTCTCTTGACCGTCTAATCTATTTTAATACAGAGACACTTATCCAATCATATTTCAACATTGTAAAAAGAACTATCGTCGACATGGTTCCAAAGGCTGTTATGCTGAATCTTGTCTCACATACCAAAGAAGAACTCCAACGAGAACTGTTGCAAGAACTATATAAAGCAGATGTTCTTGATGAATTACTTAAAGAAAGTGAATACACTCAACAAAGGCGAAAAGAGTGTAAAAAGATGATTGAAGCCTTGCAAAAGGCCGATGAGGTAAATTGTTATTATGCCTTGATATTGCTTATTATGTAATAACTTTTAAATAACATTCATACTCTTTCTAGATTGTCTCTGCTGTTTAAGGATGGGATCGGCTTGGTTCAAAAAGCCACGCCGAGCCGGCTCGAACTGATAGCTCAAGCCAGCTCGAGTATGTTGGCTCAAGAAAGTTAGCCCATACTGGCACATTATTTATAGTTGTTTTCGAATGGTTTTTCGGTTGATATAATAAAAGTTATTTGTGTATTATTAATGATTATTTGATACAATTATATCAGTGTTATCAAATTTTTTTCGTTTGAATGCTTGTCTGACATGTTTGACGTGTTTAGTATTTGCGTTTTTGTTAACTAATAAATCTTGACAAGAAATATAAAAACGGCTCCAAATATAAAATAACGGTTTTACTAAATTGCTCCAATAGTATTCAACACCATAGTTGTTATATCTCAAAAAACTACTAGCTAATACATGTCAGGGGTATTAAGCAAAATGTCCAGCGTTTTAGAAAACTTTATGCTAAAAATGACTTATGTCTTTATTACAGTTCAGGTTTTCTAACCCTAAATTTTACTAGCAAGGTTATTAAAAATATATATAATGTTGAATACTATTGGTATAATTTTTTTTATAAATATTAAGATGTTTTTTGGCATTTTATTAATTTAAATAATGTTGGAAGTTTTAGAAACTTTGGTTGATTTTTTTATATTAACAAGAATACAATTTGGTTATATATACAATTTAATTATTATATATTTATTTAAAAGTTTTGCTATATCTATTATTATTTAGTTATTTATTAGACAATTTCTAATTGTACACGGGTATATAGAAAAGCCAGCCGATATCTCAAAATTTTGATTATGAAACCACTATTTGACTTCTAACAAAAAAAATTTTTCGTGAAAGTTTGGTATAAACTATTTTTCACCCCTATCCAAATCCACCTTTACCTTAATCTTAGTTAACATTTAACTTTTCATTTTATAGAAATTGGTTTGATTTACATATTACACAAATTTGCATATGTGTAAAATTAGATTTTTTCTATTTATTAATTATTATACAGTATTTAAAGTTTATTTGTAGATTTTTTATTAAAATCCGATAATTATAGTATTTTTGGTATTATTTTTTTTTTATTTAAATTGTTTTGTCAGTAATCTTTTATTAAAAATTTGTTACAGATATAATAAAATGTTTAGCTTAATATTTAGACCTAATATCTCACAGTTATTTCATTGATATTAATTATATCAGAGCATTTACAAGTGACTAGCTATATTAGGATAACTTTTTTTAAAGAGATATTTAACCTAAAAAGATCTTGTCAAACTATCATCTTATAATAGAATATCACCAATCTGATAATATTTTCTCATAAAATAAAAAAAAAACAAAAAAATGCTAATATCAATATTAAAATTAAAAAAGAAAAAAAAAAAAATCATTTTCAATCACAACTCTCACTAATGATCACTTGTACCAACTTTTTACCGAAAGCAAGTAGAAGACTCAAGATCAGAAGTAGTGTTCCTATGAACTGAACTGAACTGAACTTTTGGCCAAGTTCAAGTTCAGTTCAAAATTGAACTGAACTTGAAC